CTACACAAATATTTTTTACACAATGAGTAGCATATTCTGCATATTGCTCTGTTATGTGCATTTCCCGCTTAACTATATACCTTAGAGATAGTTCCACATCACTGTACATAGACCTGCCTCTTAATTATTTTTATTGAAATATGATGTACATACAGAAAAGCACATATACTGTAAGTATGTTTACAGCTGGATAAATCTTCAAAAGCTGAACACACCTGTATAACCAGCACCCCCATCAAGAAACAGAACATCACCAGTTCCCCGGGAGTCCCTTTCCAACACCGTTCCAGACATGATCCATTCCCTCACCAAGGGTAACCACTCTTCTGACTCCTGAACAGACTAGATTAGACTCGTCTGTGTATGCAGGTTTTATGGAAAGCATCCTACTGCCCATACTCTTGTGTCTGGCTCCTTTCATTCACCATTATGCTGGGGAGATGCACCCACGTCACTGAATTTTGGGGGACACGTAACGATATCCTTGGATCAATGAAAGCCCCGTCCCCGCTGGCTGGAGGTCTTGCGTGTGGTATGCACAGTCTCTCCACCTTGCCCTCGAGACCCTTGAATTCCTCTCAGTGGCTCTGTGATGCCTTAAAGAGTCCACAGCTGGCCAGAATGCACCTCCAGCTGAAGAAGTGATGAAAACCAGCAGCCGTGGGTTGAGGTCTGTGCAGAAAGTACCATGGGAGCAAGGAGAGGGGAGAAAGGCACAGCAGCCCTGCCCTCGGATCAGCACCTCTGCAGCCGCGGCTCAGGAGGACATGCTGCTTGCGGCCTCCTTCACTCCGCCAAGAACTCTAATCTTGGATTCCCTGAACATGCGGATTCATGACAAAGCACTGGTTTGCGTTCCCTTTGCAAATGTTACTTTTAAAGTGGAGTCAAAACTACTTCCAAGTGAAGAGCTAAGCAGCTTTAACTAATATCAGCAAAGGGCCTAAAAAAAGAGATGTAGTTGATGCATTCCATCTGTTTGCTCTCTTCTGCCCTAAGACTCAGGACAAAATACCTTTTTGGGAAAGGAACTGTCGCACACAGGGCAGGAACAACGTACCAACAGGCCAGAGTTGGACATGCTATCCAGCTTGGGCTGCCCACTTACGAATTCGAAATCCCTAACTGTCAAATCAGTCCCCAACCTCACCCCCGTCCATCCCTAGTCTAGCAATGACACGAGTATCTATTTCCAGATATGAGCAGTTAAGTGGCAGAACCCATCGGCACATTCGTGTGGGGCCAGTCATCACTGCCCTGAGTGGCTCAGGAGGCAACACACAGGACTGCATTCTTGTGGTTCGCCTTTCCAGAAAGGCCTTTCCAAAGCACCACATGCTGCCCGCACTGGGTCCAGCAGAAGAGGGGGAGGCAGAGGATGTGCCCTATGGCAGACTCTGCTTTACCAGAATAATACCATGCTCCTTGCTTTGGCCCATTGCATTCCTTCTCCGCACAGAGGCCTTCTCCTGGAAGGCTGCACTGCATGGGCCTCCCCAGAAAAGCTCCTCTCTATTTACGAGACAACCTGTAACAAATTAAGTATAGTGGCTCCAGGGTATCCTGATCTCATTTGGGTAATTTAGCAGCAAAAATTTGCTGAAAACTCAAGATAATCCAGAAATCATCCCCTGGCTTTCACTTAGGATGTGGAAGGAGAGAGAGAGAGAGAAAAAAAAAAAAAGAATAAACACAGGAACAGAAGAATAAAGAGCTTACGGGAGAAGTTGAAAACAAACCTTATCCCAAGTCCAGACAGAATATTCCATTTAAATGCTTTATAAAGATTTTCTTTGATGAGTTACAGAGTACTGTTTAAGGCATGCTACTTTATGGTGACTTCTCAGTCTGGTAGTTATTGAAAGGTGTTATATACCCACTGCAGGCAAAGGAAAAGATACAGGGGAGGACCACATACTCCCAAGGCTAGTTAAGGACAGAGGAGGGTCTGCCAAGGCCAGAGCCAACTTTTAGTCTTTATCACCAAAGGTTGCTGTTCCTCTGACTCAGGAACCTGTGGAGGCCACTCCTGGGTAACCATCTACCACCCTGTTTGGCTGTATTCCACATTCCTTCTTGGAAACTTCTCTAAAAAAAAGAGAATGGAGATGAAAAATGCCCACAGGGAAAGTTTTCATAAGGGCCCACAAGCTCAACTGGCTGGAATCTGAAGAGGGCAAAATATGGAATGTTCACCCCGAATGACTGAATAGAAGATAAGCAAACATCAGGTGACAGAGCAAACACACAGGAAATATGATCTACCTACCCCAGGAAGGACTACAGTTCTTGAGTTCATCTTTAAATGGGAGCAGGTTCTTATTGACTCTGGGGTTTTGAATCCAAGTCTGAGCAAAAGCTGCCCTCTTGATTCTAGGAAGCACAGTAGAGGGCAAGGGCCAAGGATTTTTAGAGCTGGTATAGACTGGAACCAGTAGACTGGAACCAGCCCCGTGGGAATAGAAGTTCCAAGAGTCAACAGTAGCTGGCAGCAGAGAGCCTCTCCAGGCTGGAGGATGGCAGGATCCTTGACTGTCCATGCCAGAATGTACCTTAGAGATGGCCCAACACGGAGTCCTTTGTTTTTCAGGTGAGGAACCCCAGGACCAGAAAGGGTAAAAGGCTTGTCCAGAGGCACACAGTTGGTGTGTGACACACAGCTGGGAGCAGAGCCGGTGAGCTGACTTTCATTCCCCTGCCTCGGCCAATGTGTGACACAGGACCACAACAGTTGTGGGGCAGAAAGAAGGGGAGAAGTTATGAGCTTTGAGAGTCATTAGTAATCCTATCATTAGACACACAGTTAACATCAATAGCCAGCAAAACATGCTAATGTGTTTAATGTGAGAGGCAATACTTATTGCACTAATGAGGTGACTGGTGCCAGTGACCATTTATGGCAGACATTTTTTTTTTCAAGTTTACGATTATAGCAATAATACATACATAAAAAGAGATTTACACATTTCCTGTCTAAACACACACCTTGACCATCCTATTATGTAGACTGAGTGAGTGAACATATGTCTCTTAATTTTGTCAGAAAAAAAAAAAACACTTCAATTGAATTATAGACAGACTGAAGACAAAGTTATATGGCATATAGTTTAAAAACAAAATTGGTTAGGTCCCCCTCCCCTTTTCTACTATTCATTAGTTTTAGAAAAGTGACTTCAGTCCTAATGAAGGTGTTAAGAAAGCAGACGCAAAGACAAAAGTCCATTCAATCAGCACTACACACGTGCCGGGAGGGTGAGGAACAGTTTGCCCAACTGTGGAGTCCCCAGCTTGGGGCAAGGTCCCATGCCCATGAAAAGCATGCCTGTGAAAAGCATGGGTGAGTCAGTATATTTTAGATGCTTTTTTTTAAAGGCCCTTCAAGGAGCTGAGAGAAACTAGAGCACTCAGGTTGAGGGAGGATACAGACTTTTTTCTCATTGTTTCCTAATGTAGGTTAGATCATCAACAGTCTAGAATGCTGAAAGAGACCTCTTGTATTCTACTCAAGATAGATGAATGCCATACTGTCATAGCCACGTAGGTCTAGAAGGCCTTCAGAAATCACCTAATCCAGCATCTTCATTTTCCAGATCAGAAAACAGAGGCTCGGTTAGATCCAGTAACTTGATAAAGGTTAGCACAAGCTCTCTGTATACTCTGCCAACCTCCAGTGTGTATACTGGAGAAAGGGGTTGGGGGTAGGGTGGTGCAGACAACCTTTCAACAGGTCTGTGAATCTTTCAAAACGCAAGCCATACAAAAAAATGTATACAGAGTATTTTCCTGGAAGATTTCGATCTACATGAATTAAACTTGAAGATTTAAATGAAGGTTTTAAAACATTACAATTATAATTATCATCCAGCCCTCCAAAGTGTTCATTCAGAGTAGGAAGCAGGTGTGAGCACTTTGGAGATGGGCCTTCTGTTCTCTTGGAGGTGCTCAGGCCTGTGCTGACAGCTGCTGGTGACATGGAGTGGGGAGATCAGAGCCAAATGCTGAGAGGAACGCACTGGTCCAGCTGACAGTGTCACCAACTTGCTGAGACTCAGCATCCTCATTGTTTGCAGGGGGTGACCCTTGACAGCTGAAGTATACACTTTTCAGCAATTGTCCAGTCTGACGACAATTTTGTGATGACACAAAACCAAGTTTGGCCAGCACTGAACACCCCTGGCTCCTCCAAAGTGCTCCAAACCTCAAAGCCCAAAAGACAGCTTGATGAATGAGCCCACATAATGGAACGTAAATGGGATGCTGTTACCACTCCAGAATGACCACTACCGTTTAATGAGCACTTACTATGTATGGTGCTCATGACCTCTTACCTCATTTTCGCTCAACAAGAGTGATGCACGGTAAGGGTAACTGCTCTCTGTTTCAGAGATAGGAAAAAAAGACCAGCCATGGCCCAGTAACTTGGCCAGACACCTGGCCAGTTAGTGGCAGATCGGATTAAACTCCACTGTCTGACCCTAACTCCCCTGCCTCCTCGGTTAGGACCCAGGCAGGTGGAGCTGCACTCATGCACCAGTATTCCAGATTTTAAGTTATTGTCGAGAGACCCCCTTAATTCCAGTGTTTGTTCGGAAGCCTGTTCTCTGAAACTTCGCGTTTGTTTTTCATGCATGCGTCTGACTTCCTTCAATTTCTCTGCAAATTTCCACCAAATAAAACCATATGCACTTCCATAGCAACACTGCAACACAAACATGGTGTAATCTTTGTCCACTGCAGTACACAGCTTGAAAGGTTTAAAAGAAAGAAAGAAAGAAAACCCAAAAAACCAAAAAAACCCCCCAAAACAAAAACGACATCTGTATACAGTTGAACCGAATCCCATGGTAACAAATACAAACATACACTTGGTTCTTTTCTTTAAATGTTTTCTCTTTCCTTTTTAATAGTTTTAGAACAGAACCTGGGTTGCAACACTTGTGACTAAGCAGGGCCCCCATCCGGTGACCGATGAGCCATCGGGGCGGCGCGGGCCTCCTGCGGGACAACGGCTACTGCCCTCCGCGCGAGCGCCAGTCCCCGCCCAGGAGCTCCCGCCGCTGGCGCTAGAGCACGCGGGGACCCCGGGGCCGCGCGCCTGGCCTCGTGGAACCCAGAGCGGCGCTGGCCACCACGCCGGGTCGGGTTCCCGCGGGAGGCCGGGCGCGACCCACCCCGCAGGACGGCGCGTGGCTGTGGGGAAGGGGGGGTGCTGCTGGCCCCTCCCCGCCCTCCCGCTGCCGCGCGGTCAGCCCGTCCCTGCCATCCCCGCGCGCTCCCTCCGCACGCCCAGGCGCAGTGCCCGCCGCGGCCCGTTTCATCCTCCGCACCAGCCTCCCGCGGCGGGATTAGCCACATTTTGTACCAACGAAGGCCTCCACCCTCCGGGAAGACAGCCACTGGCCCAAGGTGACACGGCTGGAAAGGAAGAGTGGAGGGACTTGAATCCAGGACTTTTTTTTCCCTTTTACTCTACTTCGCGTGGCCCCTGGCGGCTAGGGTGCGGGGGAACCTATCTGTAGCCCCGTGCGACCTGTGCGGTGACTCCCCGGTTGCGCCTCCAGGGGACCGGCTGGGTTTGGAGGCATCGGCTGCCGTGATGCAGGTAAAGGCGGGTTTGTCTGTCTGCGGTCCCTGCTTTCCCCTCTGCTTCTCTCTCCTCCCCGGAGCCCAGGCTTTTTAAGCGCTTCCTCTGTCCTGACAAATGCAGATGCCTCAGAGATGAAGACATCTCAAGCAACTAGTCAGTTGGGGTTGTGCGGTGACCGGCTCCTGTTCCTATAGGAAGGTCCAGCACTCACTAGCTGAAGGGGGAAGGAGTTCACCAGGTAAATGCCATTCTCCGGGCTGCACATTCGCGAACCCGAGAAACTTCTTATGACCAGGTGCTAAAACCTGAAGAAGATGTTCCTTGGCTGCTTCCTCACTGGGCTTGTGCTGAGGTACCCGATGATCTACTGAGGTGGCAGGTAGGAGGTTGAGGGACAGCCAAGTGGTGATAACAAGAAAGCCTGCCACTTCTGGAATACTTCGGAGGTGCCAGGCGCTCTGAGAAGCTCTTCAGAAGATTTCATCCTCACAAACCCAGGAGGCAGTATGATTCTTCTGCTTTAACCCATGAGAGATCCAAAGCTTTCAGAGGTATCTGTCCTGTCCAAGATCCTGCGGTGGCAGAGCCGGGTTCTGCCCAGGGCTGCAGATTCCAGAGCCTGTGACTTCCCCATAGAAGGGGATGGGGACCGCTCATCGGAGACACACAAATAAGGGTGCACAGGGAGACCACATTATTCCTCAGACTCAGGCGAATTTGAACCAGCTTTAAGATATGGGGTGGGGGCGGGGGGACGGAGACATCCCTGCTTCTTGGCCAAATCCAAAGAGGAGATCCAGGGTTTCAGTCAGGAAGGCTCTTTTTTTAATCAATTGTTTTTTGTTTTCAGAACTAAGGTGAAAATGACCCAGTGAGGAAGGAAAATGAGCAAGGCCTGCCCTGGTCACATAATTAAAACATATATGCTGGCCAAAGGTACATCACTCCCCTACCCCTCCCTTCAGTGAGAGAAAGGCCCTTTCTGAACCGGAGGCCTATTAAAGCATTCCACTGGAGAATTCTCTGACCCTTCTGAAGGGACACTGTGAGAACCTTGTTCCTTAGAATGCAGTCACACAAAGGGTTTTGTGAAATACCGAGCCATGATTCTATAAATGCAAAGAAGCATTAGGGATGGTATGTGAACAAAAGCTGGACAGAGGATGCACGCCCAGATGCTGAAGTTGGCCAGGTTGCAATCTGAATGATCTAATGTTTTCTGGCTCCTTCTTGCTTTGCTTTTCCAATTTGGTTTGAATATTTGCATTACTGTATTATTTTCCCTGTACAATTGCTGTTGTCTGTACACAATTAGGTCATTTTCCTAGTTGGGTGAGGAGACGCTTCAGACGTGAGATGAGCTACAGCTGGTAGCTGGTTCTCTCCTGGGATGTGCGTTTAGATCCCCATCTTGTTGATCCCAAAGACTCTACCTGCACCCAAGATCTGAAAGTTTTAATGTAGGTCATTCAACCAAGTGGAAAGAACCACAGCATCCCTTTGTAATGGTGGGTAAGCACATCTTGTTTCTATAACTTTCGGGTTGATCTGCTGATCTAATTATGCTGTTCCTTGGGCCAAACCTAACCCTGTATCGTAATGCTCCAGACAAAAGGAAGGGCTGTTTCCTGGCGGCCTGTGGCTTCTTAGGTCGGTGGAAGTCTGCTAAAGTAGACCCTGAGCAAGGGAGAAGGAAAGGGAAGTACCACGGTGAAGAGGAAGGGCAAGCTGCCCACAGACGCGAACCCAGAAATGCACGTAGATGTTCAAGCCAGTACAAGAGGTTGAACTTTGACCTAGGACTTTGAAGAGGGAGAGAAAGGGGATCCCAGAGGAATGGAGGCTTATTTCGCAGATGAAAGCTGATTTGGGCCATGTTCACAAAGTGCTCTGCAATCCCTCACCGGTGTAAAATCTCACTGATACACATGCCTCTAATCCAGCTTTCTCACCTCTCTGGAATTTGTGGCCCGTTGGGCAAAGCCAGTGCTACCTTTTATGTGTGTGCTACCTTTAAAATAAGGTGGGGCCAAACAAATGGAAAGGACAGGCTGTGATTAAAGTCACCGGGGAAGCCCCCTGACTCTTAAAAGTGCTTTGTAATCAGACATGACCACACTTAGCTCATCGAGTGCTGCATTCTGGCAGGACCGTCTTTCTGGCTCAACCTTCTCATGGTTCCTGCTTGCTTCCTCTCCCCATTCCTGAGATCTGAATCTATGACGCTGAACTTGTTTCTCCTCTCTCCTTTCCTTTTTATCCAAATAATTCATTCATCATTTGTTTACTAGATATTTGATCACCTATGTCACATCTGTTCTAGATGCTGGAGTTACAACCAGTGAATAAGGAGTCTCTGCTCTCACAGAGCTCAGTCTAAAGAGGAACACTGACCACAAAGTGTGATAGGCATCATGTGAAGGGAAGCCCACTTCAAGAATTTAGCAGTGACTGAATCAGGAGGCAGCTAAGACTCAAAGAGATGGTTCTCACAGATGGCTGATGACAAGATTGGAGCTAGAGAGACCATTCAGGAATCGAAGCCTGGCCTCCTGCCACCACTTCCTTCCTAAGGCTATCTAGAGTGCCATAGTCAGTCTTTTTTGGTCTTTTTCATCCAGTTACACAGAGTTCACACAGCCTTCTCCCAAGACTATGCTATTCCCACCTCAGTAAAACTTTCATTTGTCACTAAAGCCAAATATGTGCCCTACCTCCGAGAACTGATGTGCTGATAAACTGAGCTGATAGATGTAAAAGTGCTTTGAGAACTGCACTGCAATACAATTCTAAGTACTAAAGCTACTATCAAAGTAACATTTAGTTTCATCGACAAATCAGCCAAGGGATTAACCACTAGTCAATACCAGGCTCTGTGGGAGTGAAGCTGTCGAAGCTGTCTTCATGGATATAGTACGGCTCCATCCCTAAAGGAATTTATGACAAGCTGATGGTACAAAGGGAAAGAGAAAACAAAGTAGGCATTTATGGAGTGCTTGTCATGTTGTTTTCCTTACAGTATCTCAACTAATCCTCACAGTCGTCTAGGATATAGGCATTATTTTCTTCCAGGATGGAAGGCCCTCCCCCAATCCCTGTCTGTTCAAGCACAATACAGCATAGTAGCTAAAAGCCCTGGATCAGGACTCAAACTGCTTGAATTCATATCCAGGCACTGCCAATTGCTTTCTATATGATGGGGAACATTACTCAAATTCTCTATGCTTCAGCTGTAAAATTGAGATGCTAAGAATAGTACCTACCTTATGCTTTCTTGTAAGGATATTGTGACCATACATGTTAAGTACTTGCCACAGTGCTTGGTCCAGAGTAAGCATGAGACCAAAGGTAGGTATTATTATTATTATCCAGCTCCAACACCTTTTTATCTGCAAAACCTTCCCAGATCCCCCATTAGAATTGTTTACCCCTACATCCTAACATCACTGTGGGCATGTCTCTAAGCATATTTTTAAGTGTACCTGGTTATTAGTGTCTAATACAGAAAAACCAATAAAAATGTTGATGGTTGGATAAATGGATGTTTCTGTCTTCCAAAACTATATCACATGTTCATAGAAGGCAGAGTATTGTGTTTCTAGCTCTAAGACAGAACATCTGGATGTCCTAGATAAAATATAACAAATATACTTTTAAATGCATAGTCAAACTCTCATGCAAATTAGGGAAATCCTCATCACACACGTGTGTATGCACATGGACTGGGATTCAAAATGGTAAATTGCCACTGAGCTCTGCTGCTTTGGGAAGCCTGTCTATCCCAGTGACTTTGAGGCTTGGTTTTAGGGGCATTATGGGAGACACGAGACCAGGCTTAGTGCCCTCAAAAGATGGAGAGTTGGAACAGAGAATTCTGCATAAAAGTGAGACTCACAAAAGGATACATACTAAATGAAAGAATAGACTAGAAAAAAAGCCTACCTATCTGCAATGAAGAGAAATGAGAAACTTTGTCTGTCTTAGCCTGGACTCATAAGATGTTAAAACACAATCTTTTCCTCACACAAGTGTAGGATTTGAAATTTATACTATCTACATTGTCTGGGAAACTTCAGCTGTAAATTAGTTTAAATTGGCCCTAGGTTGGTAGCATACCAGGGCACCTGGAAGAAGCAGCTCCTTTGTGGAAGGACATTCCACAAGCTTCATAGGAGTCTAACAGATAATGTCCCAGTGAACATAAGATCACAATTAAAATGATAACCACGCTAGGAAACACACAAGCTACCCTGAGTGAAAACCAGTAGAAACCACAATGAACAGAATTAGACATTATATAACAGTTCTTGTATACCAAATATCAATTGTTTAAAATGTTTAAAGCAAAAGAAAGGGGAAACAAAAACATGAAAAAAGAATAAACAGAATCTAAAAAGACCAGGAAGAATTGAGAAAAAAGCCAAATACTACTTCTGAAAATAGTTAGGATAATTATTAAAATTAGAAACAGGAAGCAAGTACAATAGATACAGATAAAGAGAGAATTAGAGAACTGGAAGATAAATCTGAAGCCATTACTGAAACAAAAAAGGGGAAGGCAAAGAAATGGGAAACAAGATGTTAAAGAGGTCAGGAAGAAAAAAAATAGAAACGTGAGAAAGGCAGTATTTAGAGAAAAGGGGCTAAAATATTTCCAGAATTAAGGGAAAGAAGTAGGCTTGTTTAATCTTTGAATCTATTTTTTTAGAAGATTTATTTATTTATTTGAGAGAGTGAGAATGAGAGAGAAAGAGAGAGAGCACATGAGAGTGGGGAGGGTTAGAGGGAGAAGCAGGCCCCTCGCCGAGCAGGGAGCCCAATGTGGGACTCGATCCCAGGACTCCAGGATCATGACCTGAGCCGAAGGCATCTTTGAATCTAAAGCATCTGGCAAAGTGCCTGGTACATAGTTGATGCCCAATAAATGTTTGTTAAGTTGAACTAACACATGTGCTATAGCATTTGCTTGTCCATTACTTCATACACCTATTTATTTAAAAAATTCACCAGAGATACAGTTGTGAATGAAATAGACAAAATCCTTGTCTTTATTGACCTTGTGTTCTGGATGAAGAAGGCAAATAATAAACAAGTGAACAAACTAATACTCAAGATCCTTTTTGATTATAAGAAGTGATATGAAGAAGTAAAAGGGTTATTTAGTAGATATATCTGGACGAGGATTTCATTGAAGAAGTGAGACCTCAATGATAAAAAGTCAAGTGAAAGAACACATCCTAAGCAAAGAATATAGCAAGTACAAGGGCACTGAATGAGAAATAATGTGGCATTTTCAAGGAAGAGAAAGAAGCCAGTGTGTCTGGAGTTCCATGAGTGACATGGAGAGTGATATGAGATGTGATCTGAGAGGTGGGCAGGAGAAATGGGATTTTTTTTTTTTTTTTTCCTGAGAGCAGTAGGAAGTCATTGGAAGATTTTAAGTGTAGGAAGCAGTGTGCTCTGTTACCTTGGCCACTGTGTGGTGTGGGAATGGACTGTAGTGGGAAAAGAATGGAAGCAAGGAGCCTCATTGGTGATTTCAGTTGTCCAGGCATGAGATGACAGAAACTCAGACCAGGATGATTGCTGTGCATATGGAGAAAATTGTTTGGATTTAGCTATTTTTTGATGTAAAAGGTGAAGGAAAGAAAAGGAGGAATCATGCATAATTCCTATTTTTTGATTGAGCAATTAGGTGAAGGGTAGTGCCATTTTCCAAGATGGAGAAGAGTTCTACTCTTCTCTAACACTTGGGTGGGGGTGAGGTGGGAACATGAAGCAGGAGTTCTGTTTTGGGCATGTTAAGCTTGAGAAGCTTATCAGACATCTAAGTAAACAGCTGTATATAAGAATATGGAGGAGCTCAGGAAAATGAGCCCCAAGTGAAGGAACGGTCATATATTAAGATGTAGGTTTCCTTCAAGATCTTCTTAATAGTGTAGGCTTGGACAGGGGTACACATAGGAGACTGACCACTTCCAGCTGCAGACCCTGTGGGAATAGTCAATGTAGCTCCAGAGTTCAGAAGACTCTGCCTGCTCAGTGTCCAACCCAGAGGGGAGCCTGGAGTCTTCCAGCCCCATCTAAACTCATTGCTTTTGGTAGTGGCTGTAGTTTTAAGCCAGTGTGCAGTCTGAAAGATGCCAAAAGACTGAGTACAGAAACGGTGTGGTGACAATCCTAAGCGGCTCTGGTGTGAGGAAGGGTGGAGAAATCATCAGATAATCTGGCTCCCACCCACTCCCACCCACCAGCTCAGAGCATTGTATCTAAGAGATCCAAGGGAGTAGAGTCAAGAATATGACGCATCAGGAGGTACAAAGAAAAAGGAGATCCCAGCATGAGGTAATGACTGTAAAGTGCCATAGCCCATTACACAAGCGAAAGTGAAACCTCTGAGGAACAAATAAACAAAGGGTATCATATTGATATAAAAATACAAGAAGCTCACTCTGTGGTTGCTGACACACATCACTGTGGAAACAAAACCATGTCCAAAGTGGCTATGGTTAAACTTGGAACCACATGACAGGAGGTTTAGGAAGTTCCAAAATAACCAAGAATAACTTGAACAAAGTAGCATTCTTCCCCAGGCTTATGGTTTTGAGAGAAGGGATGAGCATTCCTCTGGAGAGGAGGGGCAGAAATTCAAGGGGTCAAAGTGACTCAGGGTTCATTTGAAAGAAGGAAACTACTGCAGCCTTGGAAAAGGCCCATCAGTTGACTGACACTAGTCAGGATTCACTCTCAAGTCCATGAGACTATAGTAGAATGCTTTCCTTCTCAGCACTGCCCCCCCCACATATGTATATGTATATATCCATTCTTACTTAGAAATTTGTCTTTTTTTATTGCTCAGGAAAACCAAGACTATCACTTTAATTCTGTACCTGATCATGTCCACCTTTACCTCGGCCACTAGGAAACTCAGAACCAAATGAAGTACATAAAACTAGGTAAGCATGTAGCCTGTGTGGCAACTTCATTGTTGCCTTAATCTTGTTTTTATATTCTTATTTTTCTCTCATTCACCATTTTCTGATTTAAAAACAAAAACAAAAACAGCGTATTTGACCTACAATGTGTTTTGGAATAAAGTAGAATACAAATAAATAAACTTTCTGTCCAAACAAGGCAGCATGAAAAGCAGGCACCTGGTGGTAGTATGCCATCCCAGTGAGCCAAAGAGGTTCTAATTACTGTCTGTTAGACACTCACGTCAGAATCATTAAGTTCATTAGATAGACAGGAATCTTGCTTCAGCCATAAACAAGATGACAAATTAAACGTTCATGAACAAAAGAAGGAGGTATTCAAAGTAAGAAGGGCAGAGCCAATAAAAACAATCAAATGCGCAATTCTAATTCCTGTAGGGGGTGATTTCCACCCAGCCCAGGGTAAAGCTTCCAGGAGGAGCTCCTCTGGCCTGCCTGGGTGGTTCTCTTACAGAAACTTGGCTGTGTCCTGGGTATAGCTAGTCCCTCAGCTTTCAATTACTAGGATTGACCACACTTTTGTCTAGACAAGTGGGTCAAAACCTCTGGAAAGGTTACTTGGCCTGGTTTCTGATTATTTCTTTACATTTTAATAGTTTTTATTCATTTTTTGTTCTTTTTTAAATTACCAAAGTTATTCAACTTTTTTAAATTATAAAGGTAACACAAAGGTAATAAAAATTCAAGTAATATCAAAAAAGGAAAATAAAAAATCAAACTTCCCCTTCTTTACTTCCCATTCCATTGCTTCTCCCCATTCATCAAGAGTAACCAGCAATATCTGTTCAGTATGGATACTTCTGGATCTTGTCTATGCACATTCAGACATATTTACATATGTATACATATACTCATAAAGTTTATGTATAGTTTTGTGTTTTTTTAAAGAATTTTTTATTCACATTATTCTGTCATTTGTTTTTTGCACTCATTAAAATATTGTGGATTCTACTTCTATTACATACATATCAACCACATTTTTTATAATGGTTCCTGAATGAATCATGAATCAGGAAAACTATACCATACTATATTCAGTCTATTAAGGAACATTTACATTGTTTCTAATATTTTGATAGTACAAGTTAATGTCACAATGAACATTCTTATACTTGTATCTTTTTGCTGTTTTTCTTTCTAAGGAGAACTGCTGGATCAAGGGTATGCATGTGTTAAATTTTGATAGACACTGCCAAACTGCCTTCCAGGAAGATTGACCAATTTGCACTTCTACCAACTATGAAAGAGTACCCTTTGTTCACATTCTCATCAACAATGGAGAGTGCCAGTTTTTAAAATTTTGGCAGAACTGATTGACAAGAACACAGTACTTATTTTAATTTGTCTTTGGCCAGTAGTAAGGCTGATCATCATTTTTAGTCCTTTTTACTATGGCTACAATGAAAGACAAAGTTGAAGGTGTGGTTTTGGTTTCTTTTTGATACAGATGACCATCAAAACAGTGATATTTTGAGCTATTGATCCCTACGAAGATCCACATGTGAATGTTACACATTTCCATGTCAGGAAAGTCAATCATAATTGAACTCCTAAGGTCAAATTGTAACTGGTGTTTATTCTTGGATTCATTTAATGGCTTTGGTCCAAAGTATTAAAAGATGTCAGAACTGGGGCGCCTGGGTGGCTCAGTTGGTTAAGCGACTGCCTTCGGCTCAGGTCATGATCCTGGAGTCCCGGGATCGAGTCCCACATCGGGCTCCCTGCTCAGCAGGGAGTCTGCTTCTCCCTTTGACCCTCTTCCCTCTCGTGCTTTCTATCTCTCATTCTCTCTCTCTCTCAAATAAATAAATAAAATCTTAAAAAAAAAAAAAAGATGTCAGAACTGTATTCTGATAATGTTCTCTTGTACCACCATTATCACACTAACAGTTATATGTAACAGAAACAACTCTGATCAAATTATGGAAAAAGAAACATATTAGACAACTATTGGGATCCCACTATTGAGTTAATTAATGGATGACTGGGTCCCAGGAACACCACAGTGATCTCAGAGCAGGCATGGTATGGCTAGAAGGTCACCTCCAAACAGCAAATGTTTTAAGTTTCTAGATCTCTGTGCTCAAGCCTAATTCTCTTTTTTCTTTCTCCTTTCCTTTCCTTTTCTTTTTCTCTTTCTTTCTCTTTCTTTCTTTCTTTCTTTTTCTCTTTCTTTCTTTCTCTTTCTTTCTTTCTTTCTTTTTCTTTCTTTTTTTCTCTTTCTTTTTCTTTCTCTTTCTTTCTTTCTCTCTCTCTCTCTTTCTTTCTTTCATCTTTTTCTTTTCTTTTCTTTTTTTTCTTTCTTTCCCTCCCTTCCTCCCTTCCTGCCTTCCTTCCTTCCCTTTCGAGAGAGCGTGTGAGCAGGGGAAGGGGCAGAGGGAGAGAGAGAATCTCAAGCAGGGCTCTATGCTCAGCACGGAGCCTGATGTGGGGCTCGATCTTATGACCCCAAGATCATAATCTGAGCCAAAATCAAGAGTCAGATGCTTAACTGACTGAGCCACCCAGGCACCCTCCCCCAAGAGTCTAATTCTAGGAAGAAAACATTTTATTGGTTTAACTTGGGCCTCAAGGGAGGGCAGACTCTTAATTACAGTCCCCATGGATGACAGACTGAATCCAACAGGAAAGAGATCCTTCTTCAAAAGGAAATGAAGTACCCTTAGGAAGTGAAATGGATGCTCCTTAGCTAAAAAACAAACAAAACTATCCCCTACACTCAACTTTATAATCGCCATTTCTTCTCTTCCCCTCATAAACCTGCCCAGTCCCCACAGTCATACAGATAATCTGACAGACAGCATGCTCCTCACATCCAAAAGGGGAGCTTATGCGGCAGAAAAATGGAGACCATCCTATTCGTTACATTTTGTGCAATGCTTGTTCAAGAACCTTCCACTTTTCCAGCCCTGGGATTAAAATATTTAAGTCTTAGAATAAGAACAATAATCCTGAGTTGTTTTTTTTTTTTAAGATTTTATTTATTTATTTGTCAGAGAAAGAGAGAAAGAGCACAAGCAGGGGTAGTGGCAGGCAGAGGAAGAAGCAGGCTCCCTGCAGGGAACTCGATGCAGGGCTGGATCCCAGGACCCTGGGATCATGACCTGAGCTGAAGGCAGATGCTTAACCAAGCCAACCAGGCCTCCCCTGAGAGGTTTTAATATTGGTCTTCACTCATTCTCCCTTCTCCTTGGTTATCCTTAAATGCACAGAAATTGTTTATTCATTTATTCATCCATGCAACCACTATTTATAGAGAGCAACCTTCTGCTAGACATTGTTGTAGGTTCTGAGGGAACAGCAATGAAATAGAAAGACATGGTCTCTGTCTTGGTAATAGATAAGGCTGGAAAGAGTAAGCAAGGTTGGAATTTGGACTTTGGATTTTATCTGAAAAGCAACAGAAAGTTACTCAAAGGTTTTGGGCAGGCAAGAAACATGATCAGATTATACTTTAGATAACACCATTCTAAACGGACAGACAGACAGAGTGGACTCCAAGGGTCAAGAACAGAAGCCAAGAGACCAGACAGAGGATCAATTGAGGCAGCTAGAAAAGATGGTAGCCTGGACTAGTTTGGTGGCCAAAGAATACAGAGATATGCACAGAATGAAGAGATATTTAGGAGGTAGAATGAACAGGATTAGATGATTAAAATGTTATAGGTAAGAGACAAATATAACTGGTATTTCTGGTATGAGCAACTGGATGACTGGTGATGACAATGGGTAGCCCAGGAGGAGCTGGTTAGAGGCAGGTGGAGAAAAGGATAAATTAGCTGTGGGTCACACTGAGTACATGTGATTCGCATTTCAAGTTAGGTGTCTGGTCTAAGTTCAGTAGAGATATTCAGAATATGGAGTTATCAAGGGACATGAAGCCAAGGAGTTAGAAGACTCTACCGAAGGAGAAGGTGTAAATTGAACACAGAGGGTCACCAACATTGGACTCATAGTTTAAAGAAGAAACCCTAGAGTATTCTGCCTCAAGAATTATAACTTCTGTATCCTGTGGAAGTCCACATCAAGTCTTCTCCATCGCAGTTTATTCTATAGACTGTAACAACAGCCAGCTCCTTCATCTCAGATTAATGACTTAGGCAACAGTCCTGGTGGATCCACCATTTGCTTCAGCTTGGAGAAAGATTCCCAACTAGTTCTGTTCTGTTCCATCTTGTTTGCAGAAAGAGGTGTTCCTCATCATGCCCATATTCTCACACAAATTGTCCAGGTAGGTCCCCCACCTTTGGTTCAAGCCATTGGACCCCGGGCTATACAGGCTATGGATTGGTGGTGAGGTGAGCCCAGCCCTGACTAAGGCCCTGCCTTCTACTCTGTTCTTTTGTCCTCATGGCAGATTTGAGGATGGCATTTCCTCCACACAGTGTGGTCCCAGTTGCCTCTCTCCCTCACTTCAGTGCTAGGTTAGCCAGTCACTGGATATGGAAAAACTGTGCATTTGCTGGATCCTTTGGGTCTTTGTTTCTGTTTCTGTCTGAGGTACCAAAAAGAGAGATGAAGAGAAAAGAAATACACAGGAAGCACATTAGTAGGCTGAGCTAGGACTGTGCTACACTTTCAGATGACAGCTTCCCTACAAACAGATGATTCAGGGATCAAGCTGGAGTTCTTAATATTGCCAGGAGAGACCCAGAAGGCTGGGAATAGGGCGAAAGATCAGACACCTAAGTTGTTGAAAACCACACAGAGTTTTGGTAAATATATGCACAATTTAAAAAACTTTTTTGCGGGGCGCCTGGGTGGCTCAGTCGTTGGGCGTCTGCCTTCGGCTTGGGTCATGATCCCAGGGTCCTGGGATCGAGCCCTGCATCAGGCTCCCTGCTCAGCAGGAAGCCTGCTTCCTCCTCTCCCGCCCCCCCTGCTTGTGTTCCCTCTCTCACTGTGTCTCTCTCTGTCAAATAAATAAATCTTTAAAACAAATTTTTTTTTGCAAAAA